TAAAGAAAGTAAATAGAAAATAGATTGAATGGGTGACAGCTGCGGACTAGGTAGTCCACATGGTGGACTTGTTGACTCATGTAAGCAAGACAAAAAAAGACCCACAATTCATGTTATTATTTATATATTTATTCCTCCGGTGAGGTGTAACAATAATAATAAGGTAATGAAACAATTTTTTAAGGGTCAATAAAGCTTTAGTAGTCTCATATCGTTTGGTTTAAACAAGGAAAGTAACATTAAATATAAAAATTTTAAAGATACTTTTAATATAATGTGTTATTATATTAAGGTAATGAACAATTTTTTACAGGGTCAATAAAGCTTTTAAGTAGTCTCATATCGTATTGGTTCCTACAAACAAGCCGAAAAGCTAACATTAAATATAAAAATTTTAAAGATACTTTCTATTATAATGTGTCTATCTAATATATATATATATATATATATACTATATATATATATATATATATTACTATACACTACTAATCTAATATAATTAATTAAAAATTTATTTTAAAATAAAATATTAATTTTATAGATATTGAATCTGTTTTTTTTTTTAATATTGAGAAATGATTCAGAACCTGAATTATCATTATTAAATCAGTATACCCTTATTTTAATATTAAAGGACTGATATTTTAGTGAGCAGTTTATTCTTCTTAAAATATGAAGAAAAAAAAATCATGAGAGAAAATAAAAGAAATCTCAAAGGGAATAAGTCGATGGCGTTATAAAAATAAATATAAATAATACAAAAAATTAAAACTTTATTAACTCTTGGAGCACCAGAGTTTTGGTTATTAAAAAAAAAAAAAAAAAAAAAAAAAAAAAAAGCAGATTAAAAGGTTTTCAACCACTCAAGTTAGTATTAAAAAAAAAAGGGACTTAGCCTTCTTTAAATCCTATTTCCCAAGTTTTTCACTGTTTCTTATTCTTATTCTTAAAAAAAACCTGCCAAACATCCTTTATCCCTAAAAATCTCTAAAACTTATCAGAATGATTTATGTGAATTGATAAGAAAATATTGTTGGTAATAAGATTTATATAGTCTCTACTTTTACTCAAATATGAATACCTACGTCTGATTTAATTTGCTTGTTAATTTCTTTTGGATGTCCCAAAATATTTGCTAGGTTTTTTAAATCTATACCACGTAAACCACATTAGTTAATTCTATGATAAAAAAAAAAAAAAAAAAAAAAAAAAAAAGGCAGATTAAAGGTTTTCAACCACTCAAGTTAGTATTAAAAAAAAAAGGACTTAGCTTCTTTAAATCCATTCCCAAGTTTTCACTGTTTCTTTATCTTATTCTTAAAAACCTCCAAACACCTTTATCTGAAAAATCTCTAAACTTATCAAATATTTATGTGTGATAAGAATATTTTTGGGTAATAATTATATAGTCTCTAAATTTTACTCAAATATAATACCTACGTCTGATTTTATTTGCTTGTTATTTCTTTTTTGGATGTCCCAAAATATTTGCTAGGTTTTTAAATTTATACACGTAAACAATTAGTTTTTTCTATGATAAAATTTATGATCTTTCATTAAATAAAATATTTTTATTAATATTTTAATGAGTTTAGGGTAAAAAACAAAACAAAATAACTTTTGTTGACTAAATTTTTAACATGCATGTTTTGTGAAACGGAGGGAGCAGTAAGTAATTCAGTTTTTAAAATTACATTATTCAGTCCTTGTATATAACTCTGTTACATTATAAGGAACAACCGTTAGTTTTTCCTTTAAAATGACTATAAAGTGTCAAAAATAGCCCTAAAGATAATTACTATATAATCTTTATGTTTTGAGTGAAAGGCACTAATAAGGACCTCAATTTTCATAATTTTACATTATTTAGTCCCTATATAGTAATTATTGTTAAGGTTGTTTTTAATATTTTACAATCACTAAATGGAAAAACTAATCATTTGAACCTTATAGTGAAACAAAATTATTGTGGAATGACTAGATATCACTTATAATTTTGAAAACTGAAGTCCTTGCTAGGGTATTTGACAAAAATTTAGAGACTATATAATAATTACTCCATATTCTTTAAATGATTCCTTGAACTTTTTTTAAATACAAATATGGGTTAATTAAATTTTTGGCATCCTAAATTTATTAATTTTTCTATTTTAATATCTAAATTGAAAAAAATTACAATTGAATGTCTTAACTATTAAAAAGATTATAATCAAATCAGGGGCTAATTCATACCAGTTACCCCAACCATAAGAGAGGTCAAGATTGAGGTGATGAGAAAATAGTGCAAAAGAGAAGTCAGGAGAGAAATTTTTTTGAATAAAAGTTGATTAGAGTGAGGCGTGCGGCTTACTTTTTAATACCACAATCATTCTCTCTCTTCCACGTCAATGTTCCGTCAAATTTTTAACTGCGAAACTGACAGACTTATCTTTTTGAAACTTCAATTAAAGTTGATATATATTTGCATAAAAAATTAAAATTTAATGCCAATGTAATAGGTTGTATCGTTCAATTACCATGAGTGAAATTAAGCTGCTAAATTGGTTTAATTTCATCTAACATACCTCAACTATAAGCACTATCATATTGTTGTCACTCAAATTTAATTTGTAATGTTAACTCCGATTCGTGTAATGAGAAAGTCATTTCTACCTTATTTATGTTGAGGAGACGCTGGAAAGTTAATGTGGCTTGTTAGTTCAACTTTTTCTTTTTTTTTTGTGTCCTAAATGCCATATAAGCCTTAGAAAATATGAAACTTTTCTTATAATTTTTTCTTTCTTAGAAAAACATGTTACTACTCTATTCCCTCTCTTACTTGATTTCTTTTTACTCTAAGCATTACTTTATCTTTCCTTACGACAAAGAATGCTAAAACGCTCGACCAAGATTGATAGTTTACAAAGCCAATATAATGTGCGATCTCCTACTAACATGCTTAGTCTCTAAAGGCAATAGTGAGCTCATGAGTAGTAGCAGTAGGTTGACCTCTGCCTATGTCGATGTCATTCTTCTCTTTTACTGATAAAAAAATCAACTAATAAATGTTGGGCTTCCTTCTAGTAGATCTAAAATTAAAATTTTCTTTTTCTTTTCTACTGCATTATGAGAAAGGCCAACGGAAGCAAGTGCAGGCTTGGTGATCGGCTCTTACAAAAGGAATGAACTAGTTGCGTTTGTCACGATGGTAAATCATTCGTGTCACAACCCAAGCAACCATACTAAACCCTTAATCAAAAAGGGGAAAAAATCTATTCTATTTTAGTGCCTCAAACCCCATAATGCGCATTCATTCCTTTCATTAGAAAGACCGGTAAATCGATTCGTTCATTATGGATTTTTATTCTTATCGAACTTTTCTCAATTTTTCCATCGCTACAAAATGGCTTGGTTTTCTCACTGTTTGGGTCCAAACCATTTCAGGCAACAATTACACTTTCTCTAACTATTCAGATACTCTTAAAACTATTATGAATCACACCCAATTCTAACTCAACAATTTATCAGTTGCTAAAGATGTTTGGTAAAGCCTTTGGTCTTCTTATTGGTCTTGCCTCTAACTATTTGTCTACTCTAGTCATTCTTCTTATTGGTTCTTTTGAAGGACTTAATGGTTATGGCGCTCAATAACTTATAGTTAGAAAATGAATTCAATTTTTTCCTTATTGAAGGTACATATTTTTCACCCAAATTTCTTCCTTATTTATATCACAAACATTCTCTTGATATTAGATTTTTGCAAATGTGTGTATACCTCTTCTTGGAGGCAATGATAATATGGATGAACATGGCTATTTAAGTAACTTGTATCTGCAATTAAGGAATAAGGGTATAAAGGATTGTTCGATTGAGAGATGAGGCATAACACAGGTGGATGATATGTTCAATGGTTAGAGGAAAGAGAAATTAAGGAAAGAGAATTAATTGAGGAGAGAAAAATTTAGATAACAGAAGTTTCACATTTTTTGACGGTTATGTGATATTAAAAATATAAAAAAGATTAATGAGTTGATAGATCAAATCCGTGAGGGACTTTCATATTAAAAATTAAATACGAGGGGACGGCAATGTACCTACAGTTGAGTGATCTTGGATAAATTTAAGCCTATTAAATTAAGGGTGTGTTTGGTTGATTTATTTGTTTGTTGATGAATATAATTAATCACTAATGGTTGATAGTTTTTACTGATAAGTGTTAAAAAAAATTTGAATAGTTGTTAAAATTAAATTAATGGTGCGTGCATATATATATAATTAAATAAGGTGCGTGCATATATATAGTATATTATATATATATATAGTAATAATTTTTTTTTTTAGTTTAATTGTTTATATAAATCAAATTAATTAATTTTTTATTAATAATATTTAAATATTTTAAAAATAATAATGAATATACAATAGTTATTTATTGGTTTTTAAAAATAATTGATACATAAATATGAATATAATAAAAATATATACAATAGTTATTTATTGTTTTAAAATAATTATACATAAATATGAATATAATAAAATAATAATTTTATTAGTAATTATTTTTATAAAGTTATATACAAATCAATTAGCAAATGATAAGAAAAATTTTTAAAATATAACTAATGGAATCAACAATTAATTGAGATATTTAGACCTTCTATTATCAAATATTATTTGGTGATTAAAATCCTTATGAAATATATTTAATTTAATTATTGATACAAGCCAGCTATCAGCTTTATAAATAATTAAATCAAATCGTCCCTTAGTCTAATAAGACATTATTCATACCAAAAATGAAATATTTATAGATTTCAGAAAATTTTCAGCTAATTTTGATTTTAATTTTAATTTTAAAATAAAGAAAATAATCACATTATGATCAGTAATTGATTATAATTATGATTAAGTGGGTAGGGCCCACAAACAAGTGCGAGCAAATTTGTAACTGCCTGTTCAACGTTAGCAGTCCCCATGTGACCTAATTAAGGCCACTTTCTGTCTCTTCCATATATATATATATATATATATATACACATATTCTCTCTCTTGTACAAAGAGAAGAGTGTGAAGCAATCATGAAGAGAAACTGTTGTGTGCTTCTTATCTTTCTTTTCTTTGTTTTTCAACTCTTATTATCCTCAACATCTGCTCGTTTGCTGCCATCAAAACAAGGTAATTCATTGATTTTCCAACTTCAGTGGTAACGAAAGCAAATGATTTGGGATTAAGATTTATCTATTGTCGTAAGTTTTCCTTCTTGGGTGTTGTATATATTTGTAAGAGCTTTAACATGATCCAATCATTTTTTAAATTTTATATTACAGATGAAGAAGAGGTTAAGGGTCAGCTGAAAATAGGTTCACCCGCAGATATTAAAGAAGATGTCTCTAACGTAAATATATTTTATACATATATTAACCTGTTATATTTGTTTATTTTTTAATTTAATTAATTTCTTTTTTTTTTTTTTTAATCCCAGCTTATGGGATCAGAGAATTATGAATGTGAAGACGAAGAAGAAGAATGTTCAAAGAGAAGAATGGTAGCAGAAGCTCACTTGGATTATATTTACACCCAAAACCATAAGAAGCCTTAGGTATAGATTAAAGAGTGAAGTATTTACATCTTAGTTTGAGATGCCAACAACGTTACACAGTACTAAAAAGTTGTATCTCGATCTAAGTGTTTATATTTAGTTTTAAAATATTAATATACAATATGATGAATCTGATAGTAAGCTGTCTTGTAAAAAAAATGTCAAAAAAAAAAAAAAAAGCTGTCTTGTAAAAAAGCAAATGTTTTTAGTATTTACTAGTAAAGTTAGATGAAAGAAAAGAATCTTTCTCGACTTTTTTGTCTGAGACCTTTAATTTTGATGTAACAAAAAATAGTTAATTTTCTTTTGCTATTTGTCGTCGTTGTGCTGTGTAGCTATTTGCAATAATTTTGTGATATTAATCTATGTTTAAGTCGTAAAAAGAATATCCGATTTCAATCTTCCCCTTTTTCCGAAAATCGGAAAAAAATCTCATTATTGGAGTTGTGATTTGTTAATAGGCTGAATATTTTCACTACTGGACTTGAGTGAAGAAAACTCAAATTTGACTCACTTCTCCAATCAGACTTTCTGGAGTTCCAAGAACGCTTCCCGACATGATAAAACATCAAAATTATAATAATATATATCCAAAATTTAATGATAAATTGCTATCTTAGTTCGTCATATATAATTGACCGTTTGCTTTTTGAAGTTCTATTCAAAATTACTAGTATGTATATCTATATTTCTCGTAGTCCCTCGACCTAAAAAGTACAATTTGCTATTAAAAGATGAACTAAATAATAATCGGATAAAAAGAAGCAAGTGATTAAATAGTGAAATTATAGTCAAATATCACAAAAGTACTTAATAGTAAAGAATTATTTTCAAATACAAATAACTAAATAGTCTAACATGCCAACTTCAAGGCCAAAATGTACAGATTCCACAATAATTCCCACTAGGCACTACGGATCAATTAGCCAATTTGTTTTTTTAACAAAACTATCCTACTAAATTTTATTATTAACTTCTCTGCTCAAAACTCTTTTTTTAAAAAAAAAGAATGATATGTTTAGTTATATACAAGTGTTGAAATGCCCTATTAATAAGAATAACTTGAATTCGAAAATTCAAAATTCAATTTTCTTTTTAAATTTATGTAACTAAATTCAAAATTCATTTTTTGATGTCGTTAATACATCTATTAAATTAAATTTATTTAAAAAGTTCAAAAATAAAAAATTTTAATAGACAAATTAAGTTAAAACCATAAAAGCTGAATAATAATTTTTCATATCTTCATATATTCAAATGGACTTTTATCTGATGGGTAAAAAAGAATAACACTATTCATAAACCATAATCTTTTGTTTTTTTTTTTTTTTTTTTTTTAGTTTCCAAAAAAAAAAAATAAAAACTTTTACATTAGACAAATTAAGTTAAAACCAGTAAAAGCGAATAGTAATGTTTCATATCTTCATATATTCAAATGGACTTTTATCTGAATGGGTAAAAAGAATAACACTATGTCATAAACCTATAATCTTTTTGTTTTTTGTTTTTTTTTTTTTTTTGAGAATCAATACCCGTAATCATAAATAAAAGAAAGTGTGGGAAAAAAGTTGGGAGGATAATTAAATGAGTCGGAAGAAAGCTTTTTTTTTTTTTTTTTTTTTTGAGAATCATATACCGTAATCATAAATAAAGAAAGTGTGGGAAAAGTTGGAGGCATAATTATGAGTCGGAGAAAGCATATTCCCTCTCTCACACTTAGAGAAGTTCCACGTATAAATCCACATTCTTGGAAGGTCTGAAGGAAGGTTAAAAAACCACATAATAACTTCTTTGTTTCACATTGCCATCTAAATGTTTTCAACATCATAGAAAGGTAACTTCTCTGATGAAACAAATCACAGGGAAATTGCCAATAAAAAACAAAATGCAATTCTCAAAAGTCAGGAAAACAAATACGGATATTACATTATTAATGTCTCATTAACAATTTGTATAACAAACGATTCAATAACATAGTCATACCATATCCAATAAAATATAGAAATCAAGAAAGCAACAAGAAAATATCATAAAAAGCAGCAGTTTCATATTCTAGTTGATACAAAAGGCTCATGAGCCAGTTGTGAAAGCTGAATGAGAAAATGCCAGTGCTTTTTTTCCTTTTGTTGCTCGCATCAGATGATGGTTTCAACTTATCAATTGCTGACCCACTTCAGTAATTTCAAAAACAACCATCAAAGAACAACAAATCAACCACATTAGTGAAGAAAGTTGAGGTGAAAACTATCTTGCATTTATATGTACTTCTCTATAAATGAGGGGAAAAAAGATAAAAACAAGCAGGGAAAATTACAAGACAGCTCTCAGCACCATTTTTGATGCACAACAAAATTAGCATTCATATGACCATTCACAAAACTTACACTAAGAACCTGAAATTCCTCAGCTTCTAGCTGCCAAGCGCCAACCAGTCATGGTGTCCCATTTTTAAATTGAAGCATCATCCATCCTTTTTCTACAAAAAGACAACCGATCCAAATAGGAAATCATTTATTGGCAGTGTCACAAGACAGTAAAGTATTAATGTTAATTAATGTTAATAATACTGATGCTACTAATGATAAAAGATTTAAAGCCTATTAGCAAGAATCTTCTTCTAACACAACATCCCAAATTGACCAGATCAGCATAGGGAATGATCAAAGTCCAATTCTAGAAATAGTTACTCATTTTGTCAAATGGCATGCCACCCTTACATCAATCCCATGCAATAGTTATGAGCATAGGTGGATTCAAAGGAAACAAAATGGTCTTAGAGACTTCTGCCAGAGAACAGAAACTAACAGGAAATATCACAGAGCAGACCACACCACCATTAGAATGGGAATGATGATGAAAATGCATGAACTGAAACTTTAGTATTCTAAATACGGTTATCAAATCGCATGTTCATATCAGAACTTGACACAGGTAACATGCCAATATCAGTCATTATACCATCAAATAGAGAAATGTTAAATAGAAAAAGAAGAGAAAAAAAGAAAAGGGAATCAAGTAAAATCTGAAAAAAAGCCAGATGCTATCTAATAGGCTGAACAAACAAACAGTAAGCTGTACCCTTCAATGAATATAAGTCGGCAATTTCAGACTTGTTAAGAGCTATGATTAGAAACCTTTCTAAAGATAAAAGTGCCTTACCATTTTAATACCACTTGCCAGTCCCAAGTCATAAAATGAACTTCCTGATATACAATTGGCATGCACGATGGGACCATCAACATTCTCATTCTCACTCCCTGTATCACCATCTCCGGAAGGAAATGTCAAGTGCACTGCTGCTTTGAACATCCATGTCTTCCTTTCATGACTATAGTAATCTTCAAAAAGATCACCACACAAAACACACACACATTGATCTTCATCTGCGGGAACCATAGGTTCATTCTCCTCCATTGTCTTTCCAAACTCATCCACGAAAATGGAAGACTCGACTCCAAAAGGAAGTTCTGCCTTTCTGGTAATCCAGTCCCCTGAATCTGCATACCATCTCCTCAAAAACCTATGTATACCATCTGGTTCATGCTTCTGCCAAGTATGCCACTCCAAGTGCCTATCAAGCCTTTCTTTGAGCTTAAGTTTAAGACCACAAATGCTGCACTGATGTGGAAGGTCATCAAAGAGTGCACTTATAACAGGTGGATGTAATTCCCGTATTACATCTGACTTAAACTCCAATCCTATGAGACTTTTTATCTCTGTTGAAGTGGGTTCCGGCAGTCCAACGGAGCTTTTGACATCAGGTTTGGGCAAAGATTCTTCATCTGAGGTTGATGAATGAGGAATAGCAGAAGACTCTGGAAGAGAGGAAGTAGTTGTGGTGCTAGAGTTAGTAATGCTTGGTTTCTTTGTCAGTGATTGGGTAGACGTTTGAGATTGCAAGGGAGGAGATGTATCTGACTTTGAGGCTGATATTAAACCCTTGGCAACTAATGAGCTCAACAGGTTTGATATGGGGTTCGAGACCTTATCTCCTGCATTTGAAGCTTGTACAGATGAAGGTGGAAGACCAGAAGGCAGCGGCGGCAGCTCTTTTTTCCTATGAGAAACACTTGAGCTAGCACATGCATTATCGGGAGACTGAGGAGCAAATGCTGATGCAACTCTCAGATCAGAAGATGTAATTTGGGAAGGGGGAGGACCACTGGGAAGAGGAGGTTGAACCTTTAACTGCGAGGAATTTTTACCAATATCCTGAAAACTTCGACTAGTAAGGCCATCAGTACCTATATTAGAGAGAATTCCACTATTCATAACAGCAGCCAACAAACTGCTTGTGCTTGATTGTCCTGAAGTTTCTGCACGAAGTGGAGTTGAATGATCTGGTGCAGAACTTCCTGAAGTTGATGGACTACCAACTTTGGAAACCAGAGGAAGGTGTGGCTTTTGAATCTGCCCAGAGTGTTCAGACTGCTTCGAGTCTGCTTGTCGTGGCTGTGAAATAGGATTCTGGCGGGTTTGTTGAAAAGAAGGTAATGAAGGAGATGATGTTGGCAACTCTTCAGGTTGTAGTTTTTGCAAGTTAGCAAGCTGAACATTCGTATTCTTCAGTAAATTTCCTGACAACTGATGTGCCTTGAAATCAGGACGAATCAATGACTGCAATTGTGGGAGATCCTGGTCGACTGAATTTTGCAATTGTTGATGTGGATAACGTACTGGAATTGAAGGTGAGGGTGAATGTTGGCGCATGGGTGACTGTCCAGATGGTGATCCAGATCCTAGAGACTGAAATCTTTTCTGCCCCAAGGTTCCAGCAGATCCTAATGATGTGTTTGCCAATAAACCGGAGCCTGAGGTTCCAATTTGAGGTCGAACTGACATTCTGGCCACAGTGGAACTTGAATTCAAAGGCAACCCACCAAGTGCAGCAGAATAGCCTTCAGCATGACTTGTATTAATAGAAGAAGTGCCAGAAATTATCAGCCCATCTGTTGATTGGGACTCTTTCAACCGCCATGGTGAGGACAAATGATGCCCAAAAGAAACCTGTTCTTTCTGCTCAGTGGATAACGGTTGATGTGGGAACGTCTTCAACCGCCAATGGTGAGGACAAATGAATGCCCAAAGAAGAAACATGAAACCTGTTCTTTCTGCTCAGTGGATAACGAATCAGAGGCAGTCTCTCTATCAAACCTTGACATAACCTCTTGTGCACTTTGTGGTTTTCTGAGTTGATTCTCAAACTCCTTTTACATTACATGAAAAAAGTAACAATAAAAATCAATATAACAAGGCCTTGCATCAGCAACAAACGGTTAAGACCATCCAATCAAGGCTTCAACATGAAGCATAAAACTCAGTTTAAGGATTATAGGTTCTTAATCATTCAGTCTTACCAATTTTTCTGAAACATCAGGAGTCCAATGATCTTTCCTGGAGTTGTTAGAGAGAGCATCTTGTTCTGATAACCTAGAGTGCATATCCCACATAAATTCTTCTTCCTCAGAATTCTTCCAGCTAGGAGATATTGTGCTGCTGCTTTTAGTCACAATGCTCTGTGTTGATTGTAGATGCAAATCAACATTGGGAGATTTGGATGTTGAGAAATTTGGAAAACCATGCTTTATACTGAAACCATTTTTTTGGCCAGATATTGTTTCTGCAACACTGTTGCCAGCTCCATACCAAGATTTTTCATGTCCCTGCTCAGCAACCCTAAGACTAGATCTTCCAATTCCCAAGCTCGGGTTCCTTGTGATATCAGAGCTATATTCAAGTTCTCCATATATAGCACTAATTTTCTTCCCAGGAACAGGTTCACTTGCTATTTCTTTATGAGAACGTTGAATGTTCTGAAAATATTAAATACATCGTGAGAAAAAACAAAGATGAAGTAGAAAAACATTGTTTAAGAGAAAAAGAACTCCACATACAGGCATTTTAACAGGAGTAAGAGAAAAAGAACTCCACATACAGGCATTTTAACAGGAGGGTCCACCCATGGGCGCCCAGCACCAATAACAGCTGGTCTATCTGGCCTCTCCACATCCTCAGTTGAGTTTGAGACAGGAACAGTTGGGTCGTTTGCCGTTCCTTTTGCCTTCATCACATAGAAACAAGCAGCAATGACAATAAGTTGGATAAATTATAATAGTAAAAACTACAGATATCCTTCAAGCATCAAGAAATTGATCAATTACTCAGAGTTTCAGTTATAGAATTCTGCATCAAAACATAGCAAAGGCTCAAACTTTAAATGCATCAACAGTGAACCAAAATGAAAATTCCCCCGTTATATCATAGCATTGTTGCAAATAATTTGCTACAGCCACCAAAACACATGCAGAAGTCAACATTATCGAACACAATTGATGAATTCCACTCACCCTGCTTGACTGCTGAAGGCGCTGTATTTCCAAGTACTTGGGATTAACATGAACGCTATGTTGTGGACGTCGTGGATCAGTCCTAGATGTTGCAGCACCTGATGATGAACCATTTACTCCAGAACCAAAGCTCCAGAACCAAAGCCAAGTTCCTTCTCAATCATCTGAAGTGACTGAGGAGGGAAGACTCCTTTCCAGGTTCCAAAAAGATGCCGCATACTTGCATGTACAGAAGGATCAACATGCCTGTATGCCTTGCAAAATACCTAAAATGGAGAAAGAGTTGACAACAAAATAATACCTTCAGGTAACATCAGAAGAACATAGATAGATACATTCCAATGGCAAGGAATCTTTAATTGCCAACCCAGATATACTAGGTTGACAAATGAATAAATGAATTCCTAAGAAATACTGTAAAAAAACTGTCTTTATAGAATTTATACTGAACAATCAGGAAATCAATTTCTAAGACATAGCAATATCAAGCATTTTTGGGATAAACATTCCTTACAGAAAAGATATGCATCATTTATCAGAAAGGTATGTCAAGTAATGAGATGCCACATGAACAAAAATCTAACCTCAGGTAGTCGGGCAGCAAAGTATTTTATGTAATCCCTCCCAATATTCTTTACAATGCTAGAAAAGATATGCATCATTTATCAGAAAGGTATGTCAAGTAATGAGATGCCACATGAACAAAAATCTAACCTCAGGTAGTCGGGCAGCAAAGTATTTTATGTAATCCCTCCCAATATTCTTTACAATGCTGTCTAAAAGATAAAGCGATGGAAGCTTTTGCTCGCTGGGAACCTGCAAGTAACTTTCAGAATTAGAGATATCAAATGGAGGGGCAATGTTTCAAGGAGCACATGACTGATGATCTAGAAACCAAAACCAGGAGGAAACAATGACTCTAGATTCATATACTCATAGCAAATACAAGAAAGTACAACATAACTGCAGTGACCCTCCATATTAAACATTTTTTGCTGAAAATTTTAAAACACGGCAAAAAACAGTAATGTCTCAGGAAAAAAAATGATACAACCACAAAACGAAAGATGAAGGTCCGACTTCATCGCAACCAGGCTCCTTAAATTGAATCCAATCTTTCATTAGTCAAGTAACTGTCATGCAGAACCAAAGTCTCAAGTTGTTAGTTACATTGAAACATTCTTTCCTTCTGTTTTCTACCCTGGGTTTACCCAATTCAAGTTCAGTTGTCTTTATTGCTGCGCTTCCAACTAGATCACCCAACAACTCCACGCAAAAGGTCAGCTTGTCTTCAGGACTCATAGAATATGATTACAGTCTCGTCAGCCTCAGCAGGGATAGCAAAAGAAAAATAAAAAAGGATAAAATGCATTTCAAATACTATATCATTCAACAGAACAAGTCTACAAAAGAATGAAACCAATACGCTAAATGCATCTAAATTTTCGCACACACTAACAACAGATTTTGGCAATTTCTCTCAGCCAAAAATTCAACTGGTTTTAAACCAAGCACAACGCAAGGTACCATGAATTTATCCCGTTGCAAACAAAGAAGAACTTCTTCAACAACATGCCACCATCAATATTCCCAGTGGAAGCTGTTCTCTTTGCATGAAAACTTCAAGAAACCTGTATGGACTGCTCAAAAGCATAGTATCACTAAGATTCAGCAAGAGGCATCCAAAACTCCATAAATGAAATTTATTGTCTAATTGGTTGGTTTCAGATATCGGAATGACAAAATCACATTCTAAGCTATATGATAATTGCGGTAAAAAAAAATAAAAACAAAACAAAACCATAGAAGAGAGGAAACATGTAGGAGTTATTGATTTCAAAAGTTATCATTAATCAGTAGTTACACTCTTAAACAAGACCACTAATACTTTTCCTTTTGAGCTGTAGAATAATTTTTAACTTTACAATTGAATTCAATCAACATTCGGGCGCCATAACTAAAATAGAATCAAAACCGGGGATCACCTCAAGAATGTTAGCGCAGACAGTAGCAGCAATCGCCTTCGCTGCATGGAGATTTTCGCCAGCAATTATAGTCAAGTTAGCGATTATCGGCTTCGAATTGAAAGTCAGCTCCGCCAAAGCTGTCTTATACTGACTCACGAGCTCCTGATATGGCAGTGATTGCGGCTGATACGCGCCGCCACGGCTCGAATCATTGCTCTGAGTCTCTATCACTGTTAACCCTAAACCTCGCAGAAGCCGCCGCCGATGGTGGAGGTAGTGCTGCAGTTGGCCTCTGACTAAAAGGACGACCATTAAGGTTTGGTTGCTGATCGGCCAATCGAGGTTTCTTCAAGCCTGGCTCCCTTGATCTATCGAAGGATCTACGGGTACTCTCCATTTCCATTACCGTAAAGACTAAAAATCAAAACCCTAACCCTAATTCCTTATTCCCAATTTACATGGCAATAAAGATCAAAATTCAAACCCATAAATTGAAAGAAAAAGAAATACAATATAGGATTAGTTCACAACAAAATTAGATAGGGAAGAAAAGAAAAACTAAAACCCTAAACCTAACTTGTACAGAGAGAATTAAGATAGAATCTCGAGCAGCAATTATACATACAGAGACAAATTAATAAAATTTGAAAAAAAAAATCGAAACTGGAACAATCGTTACACAGAGATTGCCAAGAGGAAAAGAGAGGGAGGATAGAGAGTGAGTTCGTTTCCTTGTGACAACGAGCGGTAATTCATTGAAAGAGAGGGAATTAAAGATCTTTTTAATAGGTTAGGCTTGGACCAGTCTGGTTTTAAAATATTGCAGGGCCGTCCAAGGGAAGATAGACAGCGGGGACGACAGAGGAGGGGAGCGGTGTGGATCGTTTGATGTGGACTTGATATGGTTAGCTTATGTTCATAATGGGCTGGACTTTAGTTAGCCATGACATAATACTTGTTGATGTACTATGTCTTAGGCACGACCATAGTTCCAAAATCACCCATTTTTATTTTAAAACCACCAATTTTTTTATTTTTATTTTAAAATCATCAATTTCGATTTTAAAAAAGATAGAATAGGAATCGAATCACTTTTAGACGGTTTTAAAATCATCGATTTCAGTTCTGCTCCGGTTTGGAATCAAATTTAGATAATTTTTTTAACCTTTTTAGTTTTTTTTAGCTAATAAGAAAATTAATAACAAATAATAGTATTAAATTAAAAAAAAACTAAAAGAGTAAATTAATAAACAAATAATAGTATTAAATTAAAAAAAAACTAAAAGAGTAAATTAATAATTTTAAATTTATTAAAAAATTATAACTACACAAAACATAAATTTAAAATTCTTTATTAGTATTTAATTTCTATAAATTTAAATTGAGAGACATGTCAAAAAATAGACTTGTACTTAATTTATATTAGGAAAAAAAAGAATGATAGGAGAAATTCAATCGAGTTTAGAGAAAAAGAATTGATATTATGAAAAAAAAAAAGGAAGATTATTAAGGTATTTATAGTTAACATATAAAGTTTTATTCATAAAAATACCCTTCAAATTTTCCTGTTTTTTACCGTTATAAAGGATAAAAATGTCTTTTAATTTTATTTAACGATTAACATCATAATATGAATTTTTTTATTCCAAAATATACCCTTCAAGTAACCTTTTTTTACCATTATAAAAAGGCAAAATATTTTTCTATTTAAATTAAGAGCTAAAAAAATTACAATATGAATTTTTTATTCTAAAAAATACCCTTCAAATTGCCTTTTTTTACGATTGTAAGTGAGAAAAATGTCTTTTATTGTATTTAAGAGTCGAAAATAAATCTTAAATAAGTATTATTTATATGAAAATTTATATGAAAAAATATATATCATAAATGGTAAAAGATTTAAATTAAAAATATTTAAATGAGGAGTAATTTTTCTCTTTTTTAACTTATAATTTATAAGTTATATTTATATTAATAAATTTTAAGATGATGAAAAAGTTATTGCATTTAATGATAAAAATATAATTAATTTAATAATTAAAAATCATGTGTGAAGTGTGATATTTTATGTTTCTTTTAATGGTTTCAAACTGAAACTGCCGGTTCCAAATTTTCAATTTTCAAATGTAAGAAACCGCAACCGAATTTTAAAACGCCAGTCTCGTTATGGTTTGAAACCCTGAACTATTGAACATGGTTCGATTCCGATCTTGACCGGTTCGATTCTAGTTCAATTCCGTTTCGGAACTGAACCGTGGTCATGGTTACTATATCTTTCTTTTTTTAATATATTTTTACTAGAAGGTAATCCACACTTCACACTGCTACAGGACATTTATATTTTTAATTAATTTCAAGTGTAAAAGTAAATTAGTATATTGAATAGAATTCAAAACTTCATTTTTTAGGAAAAAGCAATTGGAAATATTATTAGAAATTAAAGTAGACTTATAGAACAATTTAAGTTCTTGATTTTTATTTTTTTATAGAGATTTAACATTGAGAGTATGTAATTAGAGAAACCAATTAAAACATAATATTAAATTCATTAATGCATAAAAGAAATTTAAATTATCTTTTATTGCACACACTTCAATCCCTGCAAAAGTAAATAAAACTAAACTAAAATTAGCAAAATACGAAATGATAATGAAATTGAAAAAAATAAAACTAAGCAAATAAAACAAACAAAGCAATAAAAAGCCACTGTGTTATTATTTTGACTGACGAAGTAAACCACCAAATTAAATTTTCAAACTAAATAGAAATAAATTTTGAAAAAAAAAAACAGAATAGCGAAGAAAAAAGGAATCTTAAACTTTTCCTTGATATATACTATATATAAATATTAGAAGTTTTAATTTGCTAACATATAAATATATAGACTAAGTTTAATTGCTAAACATATAAATATATATATAATATATATATATATATATAATAAAAGCTAAAACCAATTAGTTTTTCACGTAACCTGATTTCAATCAATAGAACAGAATACATAGTCAAGTCCTTTTGTTTAATTGAATCAATGCATGTCAATTCAGTAATCAAATCATAAAAGTCAATTTTAAAAGATCCCCGAAATAATTATGTGACATGGAAAATTCAATTTAATCATGAGAAGGAAAACAAAAATTATACTAGATAAATTTTTACTTCAAAATCATAACACCAACTACTTAACCATTTAAATTTATGTTTCCTAAATTATCGTGAGACCTAATCTGAAAATGATATGCTGGGAGAGTGGAAATTTAATATCCTCTTAAAAGAAATTCCTTTTATAGATTTTTCTGTGTGTCCTATTGATAAAGTGACAGTGTTAAAAGAGGAATTGCAATCAAACTCATCTTCTAATGGAAAAGGGGATTTTAAGTATCTTAATTCCAAAATTATTCAAAATGAAAAGGAGAGAAATTGGCGAAAATTCAATAGGTAAATGAAGAATTAGAAACAAAATATAGGTTATTTTAGTATTTAATACAATTCAAATTATATTGAATGATTATTAAATTTAGAAAATTAAAATTTAAAAAAGTTAAAGGAAGTTAAGAAAGGTTAAAAATGATAAGAATGATATCGAAATTTGAAAAATAAATGTGAAACGTTTAAGGAAACAAATTAAATTAAATTGAAAATTTAATTTACTTTTGTTCCTAAACTATTTCTGAAATAAGTGAAATTCACAAAATATAATAAATACTAATTAATACTTTATTTAATGATATATAATTTTTTATATTTTATTAAAATATGATGTATAGAATAAAAAATATATAATTGATAAAATTGTTTGCAATTTGATTAGTGGATACAGATAGATTTTTAAACTGAATCCTCTCTCAAACGATAGTAAAAAAATATTAAAATAATAAGGAAGAAAAATATTAAAATAAAAAAGCGACAATAATAAGAAAAATTTTCAAAAAAAAATAAAAATTTAAAAGATTTTGGTCCAATTGGAAATAAAATAAATAATTAAAATAATAAAAAAAGTGAAAAATTGGACTTTGTAGATAGAGAAGATAGTTTGTTATACAAAATAGATTTGTTTATTTTTGTGGAATCAATTTGAAAATTCACCTATATTTGTGAAGATTGGGGAAAGTATATCCAATTCTAATGAAATTAAAATCCTATATTTTTTATTCAAAACACAAAATAATAAGATTGTCTAAAATAAATTTCACAAACATCGTTTGGGAATTCATTTATTCCAAATAAGGGATAAAGAAAAATAAGTGGAACGGTCAATATCAAGTAATTAAAAGAAAATAATAAAATTGCAACTAAAAATATTAAAAGGAAATAATTAAATTTCAAAAAGTTTAAAAGGCAAAAAATCTTCTCATGCAAGGAAAAATAAAATGCTAAAAATTTAGAAAGTTCACTTTTCAAATGTTTCAAATGATACGCCATATCATCAACCAATAAAAGCTACATGATCCTCCTTTATATGATGATTAGTCGTATGCCAGTACGTTTTAGAGATTAACACTTATAAGTAAATTGATATAAATTAAATTTGAACGAAAAATTTAAATAAATTAATATGATGAAAAGATAATATTTCTCAATTATTTTTTTTTTATTCTTTGACTATGATAACAAAAACTACTAATCCAATTTTTTCTATATCTTTAGAAGTGATAAAAAATTCTATACTAACAAATTAAAAACAATAAACTCACTTTCTTAGCTAAACTTAAAACAATAAGATAAATATTGCTTCTACAAATTAAAACAATTACTCAAACCTTAAAATTATCTGAATAGAAAAAAAATAAATTTCATGAATCGTTAATCATAGATGTCTTTTGCTCAAAGTATTAATTTTTATCACTATCTAAAAATATGTTGAACATAAAAAAGAAAAAAAGAATTTGTGAGATAAATTTATTAGATGCATTACTCATATACATAGTACTCAAAAGGGACTTAAGATTTAGAAAAAAAAGGATAATTAAATTATAAAATAACAAAATGTTATATCAATTTATAGTGATATCAATTAATAGTGGTGGGTTAATTAATTTGAAAAAACAATTAGTAGTTCTATTATTGTTACAAAAAAAAATTTTGATATTTGGATCAAATTAATTATTGTAAAACGAAAGAAAACAACATTAATTATTGTAAAAGAAAGAAAACAAAGAGTTTTTTTATTAATGAAATAAATTTATTATATGGTTATTAATTATTAAATAAAGAAAATGAAAATTTTTATATTTTGATTAGGTGGTCTCCCATGCTTTGCACGAATGTATAATATACATTTTTTTTATTTAAGATATTAGACATGTTTGTTGATTAAATTTTTAAGAAATCAAATTTTTTTGTAGAAGTTATATGCACTTAGCAAATTAAATGATTGAATCATATTATAACTGCATTCTTATTAATTTAAAATGTAAGCTTCTTTATTCCCTATCATGATTTAGGTAAAATAGTTAAAATATGTAGATATTGTTAGGTTTTTAAACGTGAAGAATCTCTTATTCTTATAAAGAATTAAAAGAATTTTAATTATATATAAGAATAAAAAATGCATAGGACGTCAAAATATAAGCAAGCCTGGGTATAGGTTAGAAAATTGGATTATAAAGTCAATTAGTTTAATTCATTTTAGTTCAATTCAAGTTGTTAATTTATTTTAGTTTAATTTTAAGTAATCCAACTTTTGTTCGTAAATTTTAGAACTTATAAAAATGTATTCAAAATAATTAAACCTCTTCAAATGCCATAATTTAATTTAAAACTCATAAGATTGAAAAATAAATCATAATTAAATAATAAATGAGAGAGAGAAAAAAATAATTTAAAATAAAAGAGAAATTTTAAAAAACTTGTCAAGCATGAAAAATAGAAATGCTAA